TACATGTTATGTGCAATTAAACCATGGCAACATCTAATGTTTGTGTAGTATTATGTTCAGCAGACTGTGTTCTTCTATTGTTGTGACTTAGATGACGTTCAGAGCACATTTTATGCCCAGTTCATGCAAAACTCCACGTAATCCCAAGGGGTTCACATACTTTTTCTTGCAACTGTATATACTGGAATTTTTATTTTTATGCTAGTAATGGCGGCGATCAGTAACGTATTACTGACACTGGGTGGGGAACTGACTAACTTCCACTGACATCCACACTGACACCAATACAGTGATCAGTGCTAATAAAAAGCACTGACACTGTACTAATGACAGTGGTCAAGAAGGGGTTAACATCTGGGGCAATCCAAGGGTTAACTGTGTGCTGTCTGCTGTTTTTACAAACTGTGCTGTGTGTGTTTTACTGTGTAAGCATGCTGCTTTGTATTGCTCTGCTATGCAGAGCAATTCAAAGCAGCATGTTGGTGCTGACAGGGGAGAGATCTGTATTGTTTAAATGCAGACCTCTCCCCTGTCAGTGTTCCTCGTCGATCTCCGGGTGGCGGCGGGGAATCTCCGGCCGGGACCCTGTGATCGACACCTGTAGCCGCCAATGGCAGTAGGGGTAGAGCGGCATGTGTGCGTCCTCTACTCGGAAATACGAAATCACGTATATATACATGATTTTGCGCAGCCCTGTAGCAGAAGTTCTGCTATAGGGCAGTCAGGAAGCGGTTATTGAGACATCCAGGGTCTAAAAGACCTCCTCTGTGCTCCACTAAATCTAATGCAGTACAGATTGCACTGCAGTAGATTCTTTCCGGACCGTGATGGCTGATGATGGCCGCTAAAGCTCCCTCCCCACTGGTATGTCGGTCCCGGGCCTGTACATGGGTAATCGGAGCCCAGGATACATGACAGGGGGGCACGCATGGGGGATGGGGCAGCTGTTACTGGGGGGTGTACAAGTAATTCTGCACCTCTGCCAGAAGTCAGCTTGTCAGATGTACACACAATCCCGATGTCTGCAATGTGTGTAAAACCCCCCCGCTGTCAGGTCCATAGGAAGTACAGACCTGGCAGAGAAACGGTTAAACCCACTGTACAGTCATGAAGTGGTGGATGTTTATTCTTACAGATCCATTTATGAAGGTGTTGCAGAAATAAGGATTGGGGGGCCAGTGTACCTGTTAATTGCCATCATCTGAGCTGTCATCCAACAGCTCACATCACAGGCACAGTGTACAGAGCTTATTTAATTGGCTCTGTACCTTCTTGTTGCTGATATGACCAATAATAGCTATCACAAATATAAACAGTACTACCGTTTACATTTGGGAGCTTTCCCCTTCCTTTCACAGAAAAATTAGGAACTAGTGAATGAACATTCATTCATTAGTTCCAAATCGCAGGCAGCAGGAAATTGAGGATGGAGGGTTGTGACTGTCAAATTCTTTTTTTTTTAACCCTTTCACCACCACCCCTTCCCTGTACATCTAATCTCCCTCAAGTCTCTGTATGTGACCAGTATATTAACCCTTTCACCATCCCCTGTACATCTGATCTCCCCCTTATCTTGTTTGTGGCCTGTATAGACCCTTCATCTCCCTATATCTGCACATTAACCTCTTCATCCCCATCCTCCTAATGTATGTAAGCTGTGCTTTAATCCTCCCCCTCCCTCTGTCTGTGACCTGTATAAACAACATCTAGTGCACCATTACCAAGCGTCATGTTTGAAGCTACTCAACACCACCATGAATCTTCATTTCCCCAAAAAATGTAGGAAGCAAAATTGATCACCTTGGGGTATCTCCTTTCCAATATTGATTGTTTTGGGGGTGTATGTCCTGTCCTGGAATTCCCCACATAGGAAAGAGGTTTTTTTTTTATAAATGTTGTTTTTTTTCCTTTATATAGTAAAAAATGAAAGATCCAGGGATTATTAAATACCAATGAAAGAAAGCTCTTTAATTGATCAAAGCTCCTATGAGGTCGGAAGGCTTACTGTTTGTATCATTATGCACTGATCTCCTCATTTTTGATTGTCTCATAATACAAAATGTAGTAATTTATTGCATTACACATGTTCTCATCTGTACACATGCTCTAGTAGACATGAGAATCCTGTGAACAGCAAGCAGTTGTTTAAAGACAACTTGTCACCAAGAAGAGTCTGTGGACAGGCAGCAGTTCACTAATTAGCTTGTTTATTATCTTGCGGCACTTCACTAATTAGCACATTTTAATTAGCAGATGTTTGAGTGTCACTTGATTACTATGAAATGCAATGCAAAATGTATGATTTAAGATTTCCAGCCATGTTTTTAAATTACAAAACAAAAAAAAAAAAAAAACAGCTGATTTTCCACTGCTGATTACTTGGCAAAAGCAGCATGAATTTAAAAAGCAAATGTGTAGTCATGTGTACTAAATATGTTTAAAAAATATCTAAAGCCAATCATTTTTTTTTGTACGTTTGGATAGTGTAAGGGAATAGTTGAAGCCCAACTCTGTAAAAAGTAAAAGTCTTCCCTTGCAGTGCACTGCAAGGGCTAATTGCTCTAAATGCCCTGTCTAGGGAATTGGGAAATTACTTTTACTTACTCAGTCTTCTGCTTCCCCGGTAGACAGAGCTGCCCTGTGCTCCAGCAATTGACTGTCCCTTGGTGTCCTCACATCCAATGCAGGCCTATGGTCCCTACATTGGTTTTAATGACATCAGGGGCATCTGACCTCGGGAGTGCAGGGGAAAAGAAGCCTTGCAGCTAAGAGGATCACAAGTGTAATAAAAGCGCCACACCCTTAATACTTTAAAGCAGCAATTCCACCTCAAAGAAACCAAATAAATTTCTTAGTGCTATAACTTAAATAAAGGAATGCACTAAAACCACAAACTATTCCTAATTTAGTGTAGAAACATTAGTGCAAAAGATATATATATCTATTCTCAATTAATATCAAAAAATATCAAAATTATGTGCAAAACAATTTTTTTAGTGCATAAGTAATTTAAATAATTAAATTTGTGAATATAAAAATTGTCCAATTCTGAATTTCTTCAAATGTCCAAACAAATCCTTTTCAAATTCAAGTGCTCTCAAAGAAATTGTGCCAAAATCCACCACCAAAGTAAAGTTGGGTAACTCACCAGAGCTCCATGCTGATCAATCTCTAGATCAGCAAAAAACGCTTTTTGCTCTGGGAGCAGATGCAATGAATCAACTTCTCAGGTGTGATGATCAATAGCTACACAATCACCCATAAGGTAGGTATCCACCACTCAATATAATGGTTCCAGGAGCATTATATCACTCTCTCTTTCTATATCTCTCCACCGAGGTCATGTTTGGGAAAGAAAGAGAAAATCATGGTGCAGCCAGCTTTTTTTTATAAAAGTATCCAACAATTTAATAAAGATTTACACTCACAAAAAGGGTGTCTTCACCGACACTAGTATAACAGCATAAAACAGCAAATGGTATAACAGTCTCCTGTTCCCCGCACACTCACTACAGCGCTCGTGACTCAATCCTCTCCACAGACGTCAGCATCCAGTAAGCCCTACTAGTTTGGTCATGAATGACGTCTTCAAGGGGCGTTGGGTGAGTTACCCAACTTTACTTTTGGTGGTGGATTTTGGCACAATTTCTTTGAGAGCACCTGAATTTGAAAAGGATTTGTTTGGACATTTGAAGAAATTCAGAATTGGACATTTTTTTATATTCACAAATTTAATTATTTAAATTACTTATGCACTAAAAAATAGTTTTTGCACATAATTTTGATATTTTTTTATATTAATTGAGAATAGATATATATATCTTTTGCACTAATGTTTCTACACTAAATTAGGAATAGTTTGTGGTTTTAGCGCATTCCTTTATTTAAGTTGCAGCTAAGAGGAGCCTGAGAGAGAAGAGGATCAGGTAAGTAAAAGTGCTTTACTTGGTCCCCTAGACAGAAACGAGCCGTTAACCCTTGCATTGCTGCACTGCTTTTCCTAGAGCTTACCTTTAAATAAAGCCCTGTCATGTTTTGCCATCTTTGTCTTATTTAGAGGAATTTATTATTATGTATTACAGGTAATTATGTATTGCTGGAATTTACACACACACACACACATATATATATATAAATTTTTATATATATATATAAATTTTATATATATAAAATTTACAGGAGCTGACAATGTAAGGGCCCTAACTCACATTCTAGGACCAATTTAGACAGGAGCCAATTAACCACTTGCAGCCCAGCCTATGGTCAAATGACAGCCAGGCGAACATTTCATCCCTCCGGGAGGGCGTCATATGATGTCCTTCCTGGATCGTGCTTTGCGTGTGCCCGCAGGCACCTGGGACACGGCCGGTGACAGATCTGTGTACCGACCCCGTTGCCAGTACCATGTGACCTGCTGTGACCAATCACAGCAGGTCACATGACAGTTGTATACAATGCATGGCTTCCTTTCATGCCATCCATTGTATACTAGTGTCTAGCTGTGAATGGTCACAGCGATCACATGCAGTGGCTAGGCCAATCACAGCTCATCTGTGTCATGTGATTAACTGTGGCCAATCACAGCTAATCACAACAACAACAAAACCTGAATGAATTGATTTCATTCAGTTAAATGCTTGCTTATATCAAAGAAATTATATGCTATAATCAATCAAATTGTGTAAAAAAAAAAATACTGATCACTTCCCCAAAGTAGTACAATGTTACCTTGGTAACATTATACTACTTTGGTCATAGTGCAATATGAAAAAAAAAATCTTAAAAAAGAGAAAAAATGTAATAAAAAATTGAAAAAAAATTATCTTTTTTTTTTTTTTTCGTACTGTCACCAGTCAGTGTCCCTGATCACCGCCACATCAGTTATATGATGACGCTGTACTGTACTGGTGACATTATGTAAAAAAAATTTGTGAAAATAATTTTTTTTTAACTTCTTCATTTTCCGAAAAATTATAAAATGTTTGCTATTTTCTGTGTTTAAAGTGTTACTAAACCCACAACCGTAAAGTCAGCCTGTATATGCAGTAAAGCATGCTTGTTATACACACTGTGGAACCTAAGGGGTTAATCCTCTACATTGTGTAAAAAGGCCGTTTGATTCTGACTTCTCTGCTCCTCCTTTTGTTCAAATGTCCACGTCTTATCTCCTGATAAGACAGACTGAACCATAGCCATTCTGCACATGCTCAGTTTAGTGTGTATTGCTAGAGAGGTTTTTTTTTTCTTGGGAGAGTGCATGTGATCAGCACAGGGCCAATCAGCACTGTCCAGACAGATAGTCAGGGGTTTTACATCCTCCTAGAGCAGAAAGCAAACTCCTCTTATAAGCGTTAACCAGTGCTCTGCTGGACACTGATAGAAGACTGCTGTAACTGCTGATGAGAAAAGGTATTTAGCCGTTTATATTTACTAAAATATTTGCACTTTCATGTTCTGTGTACGGTGGGAGACCAGATATAGTGAATGCAGGGTCCTGGGTTTAGCAACACTTTAAATATAACATTTTGCCATGGGGCAAGAAAGTCAAACTGGCCATAGGGCAGACTCGTTGTACTGAAGTCGATCAACCAATTGCCTTCAGTACAACCAGCCTGTTGGATATTTGTCATGTGATCAGGGAATACTCCCTACCATCAGAATACAATGCTGCAGGAGGGATTCCCCTATTAACACTGACTGTATTGATGGGGGAATCACGTGATTTTTTTTCCTTCCACTTGTGGTTGAAGGAAAGAAAATTGCATAATGTATGGGGGCTTTAGAGTGGAAATCTGGATTGATACCAAGGTGGTCAGGATGATTGCCTGCTTAGTTGGCAAGTAGACCATCATATGTCCCTCCAGTAATAGCTGGAGTCAACAGCAATTTTCAGTCTGGGGATACAAAGATAATTCAAAATTGATGTTGTTTTGACTTCTCATATTGGACATATATGTGTTCTCATGCCTTGTTTCATCTGTTTTCATAAATATATATATATATTATATATAGATTGTAAGCTCCAAGGAGCAGGGCCCTCCTAACCCTCTTGTATTGAACTGTATTGTTGCTGTATTGTCTCCCGTTATATTGTAAAGCGTTGAGCAAACTGTTGGCGCTATATAAATCCTCTATAATAATAATAACACATATATATATATTTATTAGATTGTAAGCTCCAAGGAGCAGGGCCCTCCTATCCCTCTTGTATTGAACTGTATTGTTACTGTATTGTCTCCCGTTATATTGTAAAGCGCTGAGCAAACTGTTGGCGCTATATAAATCATGTGTAATAATAATATGTATATAAAGTTTGCTATTTTCTTAGTTTCAGTTCCAACTACAAAAAGAAAGAGTAATGCTCTACCAGATTTCTTTTGTTTAGTCTGCTGACTGATGGAAAAAAAATCTAACAGATTCCTCCATACACACATATTGCCCTCCTGGGTTATTGCATTCTGCCAGCCACCAGTACCAGCTGTCTTAATGCCTGAACAGTGCCTGCACTTATTCGATTGTAAATTTTCAACCTGGCTCATTCAACGAAAGTCAATTGAGTAACTGACTCTTGGTGAGCTGGCAGGACCATCCACTGTTAGAATTTCATTTGTTTCCTCTCAATCTGCCAACATTCTAACAGTGTATAGACACCTGAAATTGCCCTAGAAACAAAAACCTGACAGGGGTTCCAACCTATCACCACTCTATCCAAAACAACAACATAAAAAAACTTTTGGATTGCACACACACTTTAATAAACCATTATAAAGATTTTTTTTCTCATTCTCCCTTATTTGCTTTGTTATTTAAAGAAAGATATTTTGTCTGGGCAGCACAGTGGCTACATGGTTAGCACTTCCGCCTGTCAGTACTAGAGTCGTTGGTTGGAATCCCACCCACAGCACCACCTGCCTGGAGTTTGCATGTTCTCCCTGTGCCTGCGTGGGTTTACTCTGGGTACTCCGGTTTCCTCCCACCCTCCAAAGACATGCTGGTAGGTTAATTGGCTCCTGTCTAAATAGGCCCTAGTATGTGTGTTAGGGACCTTAGATTGTACGCCCCTTGAGAGTCAGGGACTCATGTGAATGTACAATATATATATTTTAGACTGTACGCCCCTTGAGGGTTAGGACTGATGTGAATGTACAATATATATATTTTAGACTGTATGCCCCTTGAGGGTTAGGGACTGATGTGAATGTACAATATATATATTTTAGATTGTACGCCCCTTGAGGCTTAGGGACAGATGTGAATGTACAATATATATATTTTAGACTGTACGCCCCTTGACGGTTAGGGACTGATGTGAATGTACAATATATATATTTTAGACTGTACGCCCCTTGAGGGTTAGGGACTGATGTGAATGTACAATATATATATTTTAGATTGTATGCCCCTTGAGGCTTAGGGACAGATGTGAATGTACAATATATATATTTTAGATTGTACACCCCTTGAGGGTTAGGGACTGATGTGAATGTACAATATATATATTTTAGACTGTATGCCGCTTGAGGGTTAGGGACTGATGTGAATGTACAATATATATATTTTAGACTGTACGCCCCTTGACGGTTAGGGACTGATGTGAATGTACAATATATATATTTTAGACTGTACGCCCCTTGACGGTTAGGGACTGATGTGAATGTACAATATATATATTTTAGACTGTACGCCCCTTGAGGGTTAGGGACTGATGTGAATGTACAATATATATATTTTAGATTTTACACCCCTTGAGGGTTAGGGGCTGATGTGAATGTACAATATATATATTTTAGACTGTACGCCCCTTGAGGATTAGGGACTGATGTGAATGTACAATATATATGTAAAGCGCTGCGTAAATTGATTGAGCTATATAAGTACCTATAATAAAATAAATAAATAATATAAAACACTGTATAAATTGGCAGCACTATATAAAACCTATAATAACAAAATTAAAAAATATTAACACTGAAAAATATAGATCTGAAAAAATTTGGTCAAAAACGTCTTGGTCTTGCATCTCCACAGATCATACTAAATAGGCTCCTGAGTGATTGTGCTGATACACCTAGCATTTCTGGTGAAAAAGAAAGAAGTAGCTGGAAAGGAGAGGGTTAGGAGTGAAGATACTTTATTAACCCATTATTAATCACCTAAAAAATGGTTCATTCATTATTTAAACCATGGATATTTATATTTTTACATGCAAATAGGAGTAACTTGAATACATTTTTAAAGGTGACTTTCCTAGACAATGTCGTAGTATAGTTACTGTACAAAAAGATACCTTTATGAATCTGTTATTTGAAGGGACTTTTTTTGTTGGTGATTTAATTAAAGGGACTTTTCTAAGAGGGGAGAGCGAGGTAGGTAGGCTATTGTTTGTTTGTATTTGATACTTTTGTAAAAATCTAAATCTATTTACGTTTTTTCTTTATTTTTTCCACCAACTCTTTTTTCGACAGAGTTGATCTTGTGCGTGAGTCGCTTGTTTGTTCAGCTCCACGATGTTGGAGGAACATGTTAGAAAGGTTAAGATTGCTCATCAGCTGAGAAGAAAATGACTGATTCTTCCTCGTTTTCTGCTTTTGCCCTGCGGACTGCTCTAACCGTAAACGGCGAAGTGACACAAGCAGTCACAAGCTTGTCACATTGCGAAGGCAGGTCACAAGGTTTGGGCAGAGAGCCCAAAAGGTTTTTTTTTTCCCTCGGAAGGTCTTCATTAGCTGAGGTGGCCAAGAGCACTTTCATCCGCATCTGTTCCTACAAACTTTGGAACGGTTGGTTTTCCCAGAAACGATCGTCTCTTTTTCCATCCGCACGGCAGGGACACGGGAACAGGCTCGGGGGATATGGATCGATGTTCGAAACGTCCATTTCTCTCATTTTAAACTAAGGCTATTGTATTGTGCGGAGATCCCAAGTCCCATGAATCTTTTATTGCCACTGGTAGATCATGGCCTTAAGGGAGGAGGGAGGTGAGGAGGGAGCGTGTATCAGAGATGTATGTGTATATGCACATGATGGAGGAGGGGTGAGCACATTGAGGGAAGGGAGGGCTTAGGGGCAGTGAGGAGGGAGGGAGTGAGAGATGACTGAGACACTCAGGAACTATGAGAGGAACACTTCCCTTGGAAAAAATGACCATCCAACGTGAGTCTGATCCGCTGTGACAGTCACTTACAAGCATTTTTTTTTTTTTCATTTACGTTTTTTTTTTTTCCTGTTTTTTTTTGTTCCCTTAAACTTTGGCTGTTTTCTCGCAAGCCCAGACAATTAACAGCTGAAGAAAATATGACAGGACACACGCAAAAGAGGTTGGGAGATAGAGGGAAAGGAATGCACCAGAACCGAGAAAGCTGAGTTTGACTCAGAGATTTTTTTTTTGTTGGTGTCCCTCTCCCTTCTTCTTAATGTATTTATTATTTTTGCCTTTTTTTTGCACTGTGTACGAAGGCCAGAAGTGAGATCTGTTAACTGTTCCACACTGACTGAGAGGCCAGAGCAGCTCATGGTACTGTATGTTACCACTAATACTCCCTTCATACCTTCTTAACATATTCTATTCATTTTGTGGGAGGGGGAGGGCTATGGCATGAAAGGGGAAGGCACGCTATTGGTCTCTTTGCCATTTCCTTAACCCTCTTTCCACCGCAGTGGCATCAGCAGTAATATTAATCTTGGGTGAGAGTAAAAAAAGGGCTTTCTTACTTCTGTTTCTAGATTTTCTGACTTCTAAGAATTTGAACGACATATTAATGCATAGTATGGTGGTCAGGTAGGGAAGGTGTTAAAATGCCTTATTACTGCAAACTCCAAAATCTGATGTTTGACTGCCCCCATGGATTCTGTATAGGTAGCAATGATTTCACCGCTGAAATCACAACGCAAGTTAGACGTTCAAGAACTTATTGCTTCTACAACTTGCAAGCGATTATAGGGTTACAGAAAGGAATCTTGATTTTCTAAAATTGCTTCATCCTGATCATTTGACACATTAATGCTCAGCTTGCTTTAGTGGAATCAGACCAGTTATCTGATCACAACACATATTCTCCATTCTGAACTCTTACCACTTCTATGCTCTCACCTTTATAAGACTTTTAACGCATGATTGTGACCTGATATTAAGGAGATTAATCACTCTATTTGCATTGCTTTCACATGCCTTCAAGTTAAAGGGAATTTTCTCTCGTCCATAAAAGACTCCTTTAAGAGTTTGTAAAGCAATCCCATCCTTATACAAGTTATCTGTAGAACTCTAGTTTGTAAGTGATTATGTGGATGTTCAGAAAACACTGAATCCTGAACGGTAAAATAAGTTACATGTCGTTAAAGAGTTCT